TTATCTGATCAACTCCTAAGCAAACCGAATGCTGTGAAGCCAATTTAGACTCAGGGATGCCCGTAGTGTTAACACAATAGAGCTATTCCTAGGGGCTTTCTGGACAGTAATCTTTTTTGGCTCAAACCTGCCTACTACTGTGAGGATGGCAGAAGATGAGACGACATTTCCTTGTGTTATGAATGGAATTGCTATGAGTTAGAACAGCGATTCTCAACCTGCGGGGGGTTGAGCGATTCTCAACCCTTTGGGGGGTTGAGCGACCCTTTGACAGGGGTTGCCAGATTCATGACAGTAGCGAAATGACAGTTATGAAGTAGCAACGAAAATAATTTGATGGTTGGAGGTCACAGAACATGAGGAGCTGTATGAAATGGTCTTGGAACTAGGAAGATTGAGAACAGCTGTGTTAGAAGCAACTCAATGATAACAGCCATAACCTTTATGGAAGAATATTACCAGATCTCTCTGGCCCAGCCTCTCTATGTGGTTGGAACTGCCGACCCTTCATGGTATTTATTTTGTGATTGTTGTTAGGTGTAATTTTCAAGTCAATTTTCAACTCATAGTAACTCCATGTGCTGAGCAGCACTTCTCCATAAGATTTCCTAGGGGGTCATCTTTCCAATGCCCTCTCCTGTGGTGTGGCGGTGCAGCTTTGTGCCACCAACCTCCGGCCCGTGAGCCACGGAGCACTGCACAACTGCACCAGCAGGGCTAGAATTCCTCCTATTTACAACAAACTCTACTACGTAAATTAAAATGTTTTAGAAATACATTTACAAATAGATCTCGGGATTTCATGAGGGAACCGATGAATATATTCTGGTCCAGTAGCAGTTCAGACAGGAACCAGGGCACTTGGATATGTGCAGCTGCCTTGCTCACAGCAGAAGTCTGGGCAACCACAGACATTGACACACTTTTCAGAAGCTCACCAGAGCCCCTCCCTGCTTATGGCTACAAGCAGAAGTCAAAGAAAGCAAGCATTTCAATTCCCTCAAAAAGAGGTACAAAGCGACCCATACTAGTAGGGAATCTTTACAGTTAGGACACATGCTTGGGGTTAATGTGGAATAATAGTTTTCAACCAATTAACATCTTACATCTCCAATTTCATTTTTTTAAAAAATCATTTTATTAGGGGCTCATACAACTCTTATCACAATCCATACACACATCAATTGTGTAAAGCGCATTTGTACATTCATTGCTCTCATCATTCTCAAAACATTTTCTCTCCACTTAAACCCCCGGCATTAGGTCCTCATTTTCCCCCTCCCTCCCCGCTCCCCCCTCCCTCATGAGCCCTTGATAGTTTATAAATTGTTATTTTGTCATATCTTGCCCTGTCCGACGTCTCCCTTCACCCACTTTTCTGTTGTCCGTCCCCCAGGGAGGAGGTCACATATGGTTCCTTGTAATCGGTTCCCTCTTTCCTACTCACTCTCCCTCTACCCTCCCTGTTTCGCCACTTTACTTATAGCTATTCTGGACTAGAATATTATGTTTCCTTGAATTACTCCATTCTTAAGAAATCTGAGTCCACAGGTTTTTAGAAAACCTTCATGGTTCAAAAAAAGGAAGTCAACATTTTTTTCATTAAATTAGGCAGGTTGCTATCCAGCCACTTGAAATCTGTGGTTTTCCCTTGTAGGTAAAATCCTGGATCTCCTGCCTGAGGATTCTGTGGATTCAGCAACCAGGATGGTTCTAGTCAATGCCATTTACTTTAAAGGGGTGTGGGAGTATCAGTTCCCAGTCGAAAACACCACAGAAAGGCCTTTCAGAATAAACAAGGTAGGTGCTTCTTAATGACCAGTACTGTATACATTTTTACTTGGCATTGTGAAGGGGGCGCTATTTTAAGCTTATTTCTGAATTCTGTTCCTTTAAACTGTAGCTTGACCCAGGAAAGGGATGGCTGAGCTGAAACTGTCGCAACTGAAAGCTGCCCTTACATGGCTTATGGCTGCCCCCCCGCCCCCCCCACCACCACCACCACCTATAGACTGACCACAGATGTTATTTCTCAGCTCAGCTCCAACCAGAGGAGCTGGGTAGGAAAGTCCTTGTGTCGGTTTCCTAGGAGATAGCTACAGGGGTCTCCTCTAGAATTGGAAGCATACATGATCTAGAGATAGCCTCTCACTATCAGTTCTGTTCTCACTCTATCAAGGCAACACTAGCTTCTACCACAGTCTTCCATTTCCTAAGTAAAAGATATGAAAAGTCTTTTCAACTCTTTCATCATTCTTCTCTCAGGCTAAGGTCAAAGTCTCTCTGATCCTAGTCCACAGGCACAGAATCCCACAGCACCTCCTCCCCCAGTTTCATTAAGGTTGGACTCTGAGAAAGCCAGTGAAAAATCCGTAAGTTAGGATCTGATGGGTTGAGATTTGTTTGTTTACTGTTGCTTAGTCTCGGATGGGTCATATTGTATAAGCAGAGGAGCCGATGCTGTCCTCCTTTGATTGTACACAACAGGAGTTCTCAAAACATCTGCAAGCACACCAGGCTAGCTAGAAATGAGCTGAATATGTATCTGGCTTAGTGTTTTCATCAGAAGTCTTAAGTTACAAAGGATAGAAAAGCAAACTAGTTGCAGCAAAACGAGGAACTGTATGAGCATGTGCAACGAGGAGGAGCAGGGAAGTCTAGGAACGGTGGTTTCCAGTCTCAGAGTGCTTAACCGCGTCACCACCAAGGCTTCTTAGGTAACATGTGTGAAACATCTGTAATGCAGCTTTCATTTGCATGCGGGCTTTACATATGAATTACAGCTTACTCAGTTTCTGAATCACTGACCTTTCCATAGTTTACATTAAGGTTAAGTGTTCTTTTCAGTGATTGGTTGCAACCACCTTGCTGTGATTTACAGAGATTGCCTCCAGACTGGTAAGACAGGTAAGACAGACCTAAGAACTCCTGTTCATAGGTCCGTTGTTAGTGAAGTTACTCAGCAGAATATATTTTTGCAGAAGGCACCTTCTAGGTAGCTACATTCAGAAGTTAGCATAGGCTTCCTGACTTCCCCAGTGCCCTAGAAAATGAGAATCAGTGATGATAAAGAGTTGAGAATTGAATGGAACAAAGCTCCAATGACATGTCTACCTATTTCTTTATAGACAACAAGCAAACCAGTGCAGATGATGTCGATGAAAAGAACCCTTCCAGTATTTCACATTGAACAACCACAGGCCATGGGTCTGCAGCTTGACTATGAGAGCCGTGACCTCAGCCTTCTCCTCCTGCTGCCAGAAGACGTCGATGGGCTGGCCCAGGTACAGATATCGGTCGTCTGATGTGAGGATGGGGCGAGTGTTCGCCCTAGTGGGAAGAAACCACAGGGCAGGGTCTCCTTGCTCTTTAATTCTCATAGGTTAAGACAATCAGAGCGTGAAGCCTATATTACCCTCACAATATCAGTTCGGCTTGACAAACCTCTGTCAGGTTGCCCTATTATTCCTCAGAAAGGTTAAACAATCTATTCATACCTCAAGTACTGGATGGTCGCACATACAACAGCTATGGGTGCTTTCTGTCCCAAACAAGGCTGTGTGGATAGACCACAGAGCGACCACAGCAACGCTTTTCCCAGTCCAGTTCTGTGCCCTCTGGAGGTCCAATTATATCAAAGACTAATTCTTTAAACATCGACAGCAATATATATGTATATGTGTGTGGATAGGTAGGTAGAGGGTATGAATGGCTTTCCAAAGCTATTCTTCATATTAACAAGGAAACAACCACAAAAGTAAACCTTTTTCAGGTTCCTGGGTGGCACAAACAGTTAACACTTGACTATTAACCTAAAAATTGGCAGTTTACAGCCATCCAGTAGACACACAAAAAAGCACCACTGCTTCTAAAAAGTGCATAACCCAGCAATCTCTATGGAGCAGTTCCTCATGTCACCCATGCGGGGTCATGAGGTTGGAATCCACCATTCTCTTAGTTTAATCTCCTTCGTGAGGAACAGTGTGTATCCGTACTATTCTCAAGGGGTTTTGTTAATCAGCCAGGTTTCTAGTAGGCCTGACAGAACTGTAGTTAGCCCATGTTTTTGAACCATTTGTGTGTCTAACCTGAACACCATATGACCTCTCACACCAGAGGTGACCTTGTCATTCTTTGCACAGTGTCTACTTTTCATATGTGCTAGACACCCGCCCCCCCGACTTAATACTTGTGTCCATGGCCCTAGCAGTGTGCAAAAGAGATTGCCAAACCCTCCTAGCACTTGTGAAACTGGAGAAGATCATTAAACTAAGGCCAAGTGTGCACACGAAACCTTTAGATTCATTGCCTTTGTAAGATACGGCCACCTTCCTGGGAGTGTCGATTCCTGGGCTGAGCTATTATTATATTAGTGATTTACGAGAACATTGTCTTCATCATGTCATTGGCAACCAACACGTGGGACTGGAAAACTCTCAAAATGACAGCAACATGTGCTCTGAAGCTAACCTATCATTAAAGAAATCTTTTTTATATGTGTGTGTGTCTATATAGTTAGTTAGTTAGTCCAGGTAGACTAGAGAAACAAATCCAGCGACACTCATATATGTGTATGGAAGAGCTTTATATCAAGAAGTAATATATACATATGTAATGAAAATATCGCAACCCAGCGCAACTCAAGGCCCTAAGTCCCTTTTCAGACTCCCACAGCCACATGCAATGGTGCCGACTGCAGGAAGAGCACAGGTTGGTGGGTGCAAAGTCATGTGGCTCTAAGGTTGGTGGAAAACATGACAGGATCCCCCAGCATTCC